GGGGGGGGGGGGGGGAGGCGCTTATTAGGCATCTCTCGAAAACTTCTATAAGATAAGAAATCGATAGAAGGCAAACTAAAGTCCTCTCCCGTCCATATTTCCATTCCGGTCCTTCAATATGGACCACGTGGGATTCCGATGGGTCAATCGGGTCGACCAGCACGTGTCGCTCGTTCGTCACTGGAAACCGTCCCTCCTCGCTCGAGAATTAATCGATGGCACACTCTGCGAATCCATAGTTGAAATTACGCGGAGCTCACCTTGTTCACAGCAGACACGTTCGCCCCGGCGTTTATCAGCATTTTCACAGCCTCCGGGTGACCGTACCAGGTCGCCATGTGAAGAGGTCGCATGCCGAACTGCTCTCGCGCACGAGGACGCACATGGAATGTATAAATAAAGCTTAGAAGAGTCAGCGGCAGCGGCCTCCCCGCTTTCCGCGCGCGTTCCGCGCGACACTTACCTTGTCCCGGGCTTCGATGTCGCACTTTGCCTGAATGAGCATCTCGATGATCTCTGTATTCCCACGGAAGGCCGCCCAGTGAATAGGAGCACGTCCGTACTGCGTTAGAAAAAAAAAGAATCCCAAAGGAATCGTCAGTGGCCGCGTCCCGAGATCAGGATGCTGCGGTCCATTTGCGCGCCGATACTCACGTTGTTCCTCGAGTCTACGTCGACGGTTTCACGTAAAACCTTGCGCACGCTGTCAGCCTCGTTCTTTATCACAGCCTCGTGGAGCAGCAAGTCGTTCTTCAGTACTGAATTAGGAGTTGAGATTTAGGAGTTTCCGAGAATAAGAGAATACAATTTTCCTTCGCTCGTCAACTCACTTCTAGCAGTCTTTTGATTGAGTGCCTCCTCTTCTATGGCCTCGTTCAGATTTAACGGCGGCGGCACCTTGCTGCTCTTGCTGCTCTTGCTCGGCCTTATCCTCTCGTTGTCGACCATCGTTTCCCCCAGTGCAAATCCTTCGCGAACCTCCAGGAAGCTGCATTTATTTCTCGATCTCGGGTAGCAGCGACGCTCGCCGGAATCGCGCAGCCACTATTCGCGGCTCTGGGAATCGATTAATTCGACAGATTTTTCATTTATCGAGCATCAGAATTTACGTTTCGCCAATTAATATTACTTTCAAAGGAATATTTCGTTTCAATCGAAACTGGAACACACACTGCTTCGTACATGGCTGCTGCGTGTGCAACGCGAATCCGGCGATATGGATGGCTGAGCGCGACCCCTTTGTAGCCACCCTCTCAGACTCAATGCACTTTACTCGGCATGCGCTTTAACGCAATGATAATTCCCAGATGCAAGTTTGGCTTTGACCCTTGGCTTTTTGACTCTTTGCCCTTTTGTCTTTTGCCTCGACCGATCCCGCGAGTCGCGGTCGCGGTTTGATTTCCGGCCGAGCGATTACAAGCCTTCCGGCGGCAGCACTCGGCAACGGCTCCTCCGGTCGATTTGAAACGCGAGCACGTGCGAGCCAGACTCGCACCGGACCGTTAAGATTGTCCACCGGAAACGAATGACACGTGGGTACCGCCTGGCCAAAGAAACGAATCCGCTCATAGAGTTTTCCCATCGCGGCGGCAATTTCCCCGTCTCCCTCGAGTTTCTCAATTAACCGGAGAAGATTTAACGAAGATTTTTCCTGCTTGTATTTTTCAGGAGCCGCCGGAAGCAACGACCACGGTTTCGCAACGCGTCGTCCCTTCCGCTAAATTATCACGAGACCGGAGGAACTTTATTTTTCATTGACACAGTACATTGCACTTATCTACGCACACGCACGTGATCTTTATTTTGTATTAACTGTAAGATGCCGCTAATAAATAGAATTTGTGCAGCACGTTGCGTCGCTGTACAAAAATGCCTGAACCGGCGCGTTGGCGCTGCGCCTGTCGGTAGGCAACCTGCAGTCTTCGCCGATGCGTTACGCTGGGAAATTAAAGCCTCGTAGCTTAATGCAAGAGGCCGCGTGAGTGTTTTTTTTAGCATCATACAGGCGCCAGCAAAATTTGTTATGACCATAGAGAGTATTTAAAGAACCATTCTAGTGCGACAGCCTACCTCAGAAAACAACGTGCATTGCTAATAGCATCCCTTTCGCCGCCTGCTACCCTTCGCACCCTCCTGCCAGAGGGCCACTCCGGAGTAATTAGTGAACCCTCTTTCGTGGCTCTGCAGCCACGAAAGGTCGAGATTCATAGTTTAGAGGCACAATCACCCTTGTTGGCTGCTGCAATTTATTCTGAGCGTGGCGTTAATAGCCCATTTCCTTAGCAATAAGAAAATTCCAAAAGTTACAGAAGGGAAGCTGCGCGAGATAACGAGGGAATTGACGTTTCCTTGCGAAAGGCCATATAAAAAGCCTTTCCTCCTTGAGGTATGAATTTTCCACACGTGGGTAAACACGCGAAGACGAGGCTGAGGGTGCACCCAGAGAGATGAAGATTGCCGTGGACCGGGATATACGTTAATTATCGTCAAGTGGCTCGTTCTTGGCACAACGATGCACCCGCACAGGCACGCGGTTCCAGTGGCAGCCTAAAAATAGCCACCAGATGCCAATGTGGTTCGCTTTGCCTCGCGGCTCGCTAATTTCGTCTGGCGCCACTTTTGCAATTAGACTCGCAAGCAGCAATTCTGACTCCTCTGACGTCCCTGATTTCCCCGACTTTGCTGATCGCTCGATTGAGAAACTTTAAAGTTTTCCGTCGACTGCGTCGGCCACTCACGTGCGCTCGCGCCTATCCATAGCTGTAGATGCTTTTTTTTCACGAGTCTTTTCTCTCTGTTAAATACGTAACACAGTCCTTGAACGCACGTTGTATTTATGCTCTACCGTTCACGGGTCGCGTAATCAGGCAGGGAAATAAAACATGCTGGATGGTAGAAGCTGCGGTTGGTCCACGAAGGCCGTTTCAAGATTTAGGAGAAATGGGTCGTCCAGGTACGAGAGAAGCAACAACAGGTTCTCCTGTGACACTCGCGAATGAAGGGAGACAGAGCGACAGAGGCGGTTCACTTACCGGGACGTCTGCCGTCGCACCTCCGTCGGATGCTCAAGCGCCGATGGGAGTTCGATGAGTTCGACTGGCCAATCGGTCGGCCTTCTGGGATTTTCGGGAATTCTTCAGGCACCAAAGGCGACTGGGGCGGAGGCGAGTCGCTTTCCTAATTGCAGTCACGTCGACAAGCAGCGAGACGAGGGACTGGAGAACGGCTGACGCAAACCGTACCAGGGGCGGCATGCTACTGCCCCAACTACCCCAACTACCCCCGTTTCACCCTTCGCGAGGTCGATACGTGCGCAGCCACGTGGCGGAAGCACGCACTACGTGTCGCGCGACGGAGCTGCGTCCACAGCCCTTGCCTAAAGTCTTTGCTTTAGGTTCTTCCACTACCTACTGCAGTTCACCTTCGGACGGGTCTCTGCCGACTTCCCGTCTGCTTTGTCGGAACTGACGGACAGTCGAATGGCTTTTCAACTTGGTCCCGACGAAGTCATTGAGATTCAGGGAAACACGGGAAGGGTTGACCAGCTCGTTCCACTCCGTCATCGGTACTCGGAATTAGCGACTTAACGTGCAGAGGCGACCCTCGCGTTGTGGGGTGGAGCGAGCAACCCCTTTATGGAGAATAAATGAGTCCACTTCAGTGGAAGGCGCGATCCGGGCAGTACCCGCGTTCTTTTATTATTCACGTTTATATATGTAAATCAATTAGCGAACAGCAAACGTTTTATCCAATTTCCTTCGAAGCTCCCCATAATCCGATTCGCCAATCTCCAGTCGTCTTTCTCGTCGACGTCTCTTATCTCTTTATCATCTAAGAGGTCGACTTTGTTCTGAAAGAAAGTAAAATAATTTTTTCGAACCACGTCTCCTGTCCTGATCGCCTGTCGACCCACCGTCTTGCGAATTCTGTTGTAATCGTCATCGTAGACCCTTGACCCTTTGCTTCTGTAATCCGGAAGATCTCTGGTGCCGTGTAAGATCAGGGCAAAGTCCCCGAGCGTTCCATTATTTTCGGGGGGACCAACCTTACACGGATACACGAAAGTTTGATTAGAAATTGTCACGTAACTTTTGCCCCCACAATTAATTACCTCGTCGGATATCCTAAGGGTCCACGTGCCCTCGGGTCTTTCACCCCAGGAGGCGACCGACAAGAATCTCCACTTTGCGAAACCAGCCGGCGACTCGTCGAGCTTTCGCGCCCTCAGAATTTGCACTTCGAGCCCTGAAAAGGAAGCTGCTTGAAGAAGGGACGCGGGCAAAAAGTGACGTGGCTCCCGAGGTACAAATTATCCATAAAATTCCCACTGACAACATTTTCAGTTCGCGGGTCTGCCCGGGTCAAGTAAGGCAACGCGTGGTCTGATAAGAGATGGAGGACCTGTGGAAGGGGTGCGTCGATTCGCAGCTTTACGACGGTTCGCGATCGCGCAACAATGTCCAAGCGGAGGTCGTCGCAGGATTTAATTTGACTGACCTGATGGCGCAGTCAGGTGCATGGAAAGTGCACCGCGAATACTGTAGTTGAGGCTGACTTCGAGTTGAACGTGTTCCAGGAACTCGATCATCCTCCCCTCTCCCTCGCAGGCATTCGCCTCGAACTCCAGGCTGACAGGTGTTCCATATCGAAGGTTAGCATTGGATCTGCACAAGTGAGAGAGAGAGAGATGGCAAGGAATTGCAAATTGCAAGGAAGAAAAGAGCTAGTTCATGCTTGACGTCAGAGAGTCTGGTCCAGGAAAAAGAAGATGAGGGGTTACGAGACAGAAAGCCGGATACACGGAGGAGAACGGGCGAAAGGGGCTTAATCAAATTAGGCGCAGCCTCTTCCATGCGGACCATCACGCGCTCTCGGTTCTCCTGGGTTTCTCTCATAATTATTTCACAGTGTCATGTAGCTCTTGAAACTTTCCGGTTCGAGTCCTGCCTCCCGCGTCCCACGTGAATCCCAAGGAAAAGGCATAGCGGGAACCGGAAGCTCAGTCGTCGCGACGACGCGACGGCTCGCTGAACTCTCAACAGGACTCTTCCCTTTTTCCTCAACTGAATTTCCTCTCGTACTCACAGGAAGCTCGGCTCGATCCTGCAGATCTCCTTATCCGGGACCCTAGTCCAATTGAAGCCTGCCATCACAAGGGCGTGCGCGTTCATCAGGCCGAAGCCGAAACGTGGATTGAACCAGAATCCAGCGTCATTTCGCAGCCAGCCAGGATTGTCTCTGGAAAATGAAGTGAATGGGATTGATTCGGCGCTTCAAAGGGCTCGCGTTCGCGTGCAAGTAGCCTGGGCGACCGGCGGCACTTTGGGGAGGAACATGATCATTGGTTCTTTGGATCCACGGGTTTGGGGTACAACACGTATGCATCAAAATTCTATAGCTAAGTGCAATGTTATAGGTACCTTAACGGACTGTACTCCGACGTCCATACTATAAGATGCTGCACGTCTCGCCAGGTGAGATTGTCGCTTTTAGAAAAAAAAAAAAAGAGGCAAACGTGAATATCTTACTTATTTCATTATGAGATTCCAAGTTTCTAAGGAGGGAAAAGCGAAGCTGCGTACTTTACTTCTAAGGCCAGAGCTATTATCCCAGCAGCCAGAGGAGCGGAAGCTGACGTCCCTGTGTGCCTGGTCGTGCAGGAATTCTTCAAGTCCGTCGTAGCCTGTTGAACAGTGGGCATCCTCATTCTCACAAAAATGGGTCAAATTTACACCTTGTAACGTGGCATCGTGCGCCTGGCTGGGGCGCACCACGTTACGTTAAGGGATCAAACAAGGTACCGCGGGAGGGGGGGGGTATTTTTGTATTCGTCCACCCGCTTGACGAGGGAGGATGAGGGGGCAGGGAATTCCCGTGAGGCGGGAATTCCTTCGGCTAAATTCGGCAAACCGGTAACAATAGGATTCGGCAATGTTCGGATTTACCGAATTTAGTCTCTTTCCGGTAATCAACCGATTAACACGCGGTGGACATTGTGCGGACGATTACGGGCGTTGAACTTTGGTTTGCCTTTGGTGCTTTTGTGCGTTGACGACCCGGTCTGTGCTACTTGATCTCTGGTGAACTTTTGGCTTTTGGACTGAGACTCGATTTGTTTTTTTTTTTAATAAGGGCTAAGGGTGACTGTGCGGTGTGTGAGGAGGTGTGCCGTAGAACGGAAGTGCAGATAGAGACGCCAGCCGACACCGAGGACCCCTCGCCCCGGAGCGGCCCATTTGGTTTTTTTGCTCCTTTGGATTTTTTGGATAAACCGCCGCACCGGTAAGTACCGCCGAGAGCGGCTTTTCTTATTTCACGTATTGCCCTCGGAGGAGGGCCGGGACAGTCGTCTTCACGGAGCCCGGGCGGAGATCGGTGGTCCAGGCGGTCGGTACGCTGACCTGAGAAGATCTCCGCTAGAAAAGAGGTTCGCCCACCGAGCCTTGTAGGACCGCGAACCGCGTTGTAGGAATTCGCGAATCGTGGTAGGTTAGGTTAGGGACGGTGGGAAAGGTTAACCCGGCGGCCCTTACTGGCTCCGTTTTATATACCTATATACTGTGACGTGATTTCTCGATTCAAGGTCACAAGGCGACTCCGGCTACCGATACAGATAACGTTCTCGCTTTCTGGTTCCCTTCGGGGTCGCCACGGTGTCGAATTGAGAATGATACGTGTATCAATACCTACTATCATCTGATCGTGATAAGCTCCGCTGCTGTAGGTAGTCGCGAGTGTCGCTGGACATCTTTCGCCGTACCATGGAAATCGGCCCATCTGACTGGCTGATCCCACAGCCACCGTGTAGATGCTGCCTACGTAACCGTCGCAGCCGCAGTCGTCGGAATTCGAGCCTCCGTTTCCGGAAGCCCACACGTAGATGCTCCCTTTGCCAGCGCGGCCCTGAAAGTGTTCATTAAGATTCCAAGGGAAGTACAAGAGCGCAAGTGGGCGACGGGAAGGAGGTCCTTCGCTATATGGACGTCGTCAACGACGGACCTGATGTCGACGCGAGGATGAAATTCGAAGAGAAAATGAAGTCAGGAGTAGAGGAAAGAGAGGAAGGAAAGAAGTGAGGAATAGAAGGAAAGAAATGAAAGTCTGTACCTCCCGCACTCCCCGCTCCAGGGCTTCCGTCGCAAGGCGTCCCGGTGCTTCCAGACTCCTGCCGTCATCCGCCGGTCCCCAGGAAGCCGTGTAGATGTCGACCAGATCCGTTCGGAATCCCAGAGCCTCCCCTTCGACCCGGTCGTTGACTACGCCGTCCAGGAGCTTCACTCCGCCGACGGAAGCTCCGAACGCCACGCCGACGCCGCACTTATGGTTGTTCGCCTCCATGGCTATTTCCCCTGCGCACCTGGTCCCATGTCCGTTCATCCCTGGTCAAAGGAATTCATTCGAGAGCTGGATGTGCGATTTATCAATCGGACTGTGTCCACGCGATTCTAGGAATCGAGGGACGGATCTCCACTGCGTCCAGCATCTTCACCAAACACCTAGTCCTTTCTGTTTCACCTACTGATTTGGACTTCCCGTCTGCTACGCAGCTTCCTCCTCTCTACTGTCAAAATGCTCTGTGTCCCGGTAAGTCAAGCAAGAGAGTTAAGCAACAACACTGGCGATACGGTCGCAGTGTCGCTCTACTAGTCTGCAACGACGGAATTATTTACACTGGACGCATCAGCCGATGTGGATGCTGCAGAGCTGCACCGTGCATCTCTTTAATTCGGGGAGGAATGGAGCGGACGTGTCCGATACTCGCCGGATATCCGGCCAAAATTGGTCGGATTCAACATGCCGATCAGAGCAATTTGGCTCGCAAGTCAATTCATTTCGATATTCGATCAGCGATTCCTGCCCAGCGCAAAATTCTGGATTTTTTCAATGAATAAATCTACGCGCTACCGTCTTCATCTGGAGGCCTTTGTATTCCGAATTGAAACAAGATGCTGGGATTAATTTGCTCCTCAATTAGACGGTAAACGGTGGAAATAATATTGTGCCTTTGGAATTCACGTGTCAAGCTTACCTGTCGATTCGTAACGTGGAATTGGATCGCTGTCGGCCTCATTAACGTCGTAGCTAATTTCGGGATCCTATATTAATAGGAGCAATGATTAATTAATCGTTGAAAATTATTGATCATACTATCGTTACGTAAGATATTTCGGTAGCGAAAGCTGGAGCTGGACAGAGGGAGGGTGTGTCAATATATACATATATACGTATGCGGGCTAAGGAGCGGACATGTTGTTTATCAATAGCGAAATTCACAAGAGGCGTTCATCGATCACAACTTATTGCTAGTCTTCAAGATTCTTTCGCCATCTATGGAACTCACGTAGTTATTACGAAGATCCTCGTGCGTGTACTCGAGGCCGTCGTCCAGGACAGCCACCCTTATCCCACGGCCGGTTACCCCTAGTCGGTAAAGGGGTAAAACGTTCAGATCGAGTTTCGGTAAACTCTTGCTGGCTCTGGTGTCCTGCTGCAAGGAGAATCAGAGGATGCTGCTATTCCAGAAAATTATCCAACGAGCATCCTGCGAAGCTCCGAACCGAACGGGAAGCGGAGCTTTCCGGGACTAGCCAAGACCCCGGATACAGGGAGCTCGGAAGGTAAGGTTGCTTTACATGCTGCATCTTACGTACCAGATACCATTCCTGCTCCCACAGTTCATCGTCGAACATGCTGGAGCTTTCAGTTTCTTCCGCGGAGCGTTTTTCTCTTTCTGAATTTTTCCCAGGTCCCATTATCATTTCCGTCTCAGGCGGAAGTCGCTTTTCTCGCAGCAGAGGCTTCTCCGAGTCAGGATCGTTCAAGGCCAAGAAGTCGCGCTTGTGCCGCTTGAACGTCTTCTGTTGTTCGGCCCACAGGAGCTTTTTTCCATTGAATAGAAAAGAAAGGTGAAGAACGGTAACGTCATCCGAGGCATCGTGAATGGCGAGAAAGAAGAAAGCAAGTGGCTGAGTGTGGGCGATGTAGGCGATGTAGGCGATGAAGATGATTTTAATTAATTAAGTAAAAGCGGCTTTTACATTTCCGGAAGTTCGAGGCCACGAGACAGCTAATCCAATTAATAAATTGCTTAAAGCTTGAAGCATGCGAAGCGATTACTTTGATATCAAGAGGAGGTTAATTAACTATAGTGGAGGTGAAGGAAGCACGGGTGTGTTCCCGGAAACGAGGTTAAAGTACAACATCCGATACCTTGGTGCTCCATCCCGGGTCCACGCCAGGGCCGGCCCTTTTCCTTTGACTTGGGCCATAGTCCTTGGTCCACAAGTAAGTATCCTTAAATCCGAGAACCTAGGTGAAAGGAAACGTTTCCAGGTGAAAGGGTGCCTCGTCAATGCGTCCGGGCCGAATTACCGTTTCGGCAATTTGCTAACTGGTATTCGGTGCCGATCGATAAGGGTTAGCGCGGCATCATCGGGAACGGGAGATAATTTGTAGAAGCGATTCGGGCAGGGGCGTCGCGACGCCCGTGCTTTGTGTCCCATGGGGGACGCTTCTACCAGGCGTCTATGCCAATGCAGTTGGTGTCACTTTGGGGAAATATATAGGTATACGTATGTATAACAAATCCAAGGGAGGGGAGGAAGTCCTATCGCGGGGAGTCGTATGGTGTCGCGTGGGACCACCTGGTCCACATGGTCAGAGCGGCGTCACATGGTACGAAGGGCGAGTGTGTGTGCGAGCGAGTAGGGCCACGTGTCCCTAGGACGTGACAGCTCCTCCATACGTCGGGTGCTCTGTGCTCCTGATGGTGGGTCGTTAGGGGAGAACCCGTTAATGGGCCCAGGGCTTTCGAAGGACGCCACCACCACCACCACGAGAGGGCGTCGGCTGGTGGTGACTGGAAGCGACGCTCTCGCGGTGCCAGCGTGCTCCAAGAGTCAAAGTGTCCAGGCAAGAAATCAGCGCAGTCATTACTTGCCGATCAGTAGACAATCCATCTTATCGGTATTCAGATTGTGTCCCAGGGGTTGCCGTAACGGAGGGGAAGGCAGAGGGAAGAACGACGGAGAACTGGGGAGCCCGAGAATCCTAGCTGGGACGGGTATTTTCGCAGTCCATTTGTTTTGATCGGATTTCCAACTGTCTCTGGTAATCCCGCTCCGGTAAGCCCCCGCAGGCGTCGTCAGCCTCCAATGAAAACCCTAACGTCTCCATCCACCCTTCCGTCCCGTTTCCCCCCTTCGCCCCCCTTAACCCCCCTTCGCCCCCCTCGCATCTCGCTCTCTCCCTGCTTTTCCTTACTCCGCGTTCCGCCAAAGCGGTAACGCAAGCTTTTTCCGGCTTCCCATACTTTTTCCTTCTTTCTTTTTATTTTCGCTTTTGTGCGTGCGTGTATTCACGCGCGTGTGTGTTCCTGCGGGAACGCGCGAGCGTATCGGCTCCGTTGGAAATGGACCGTAGCTTTTTACAGGGAGATAAATAATCGAGCAAACGCGTTTACTCGGCTATTCCCTTTCTCGCTTTTTCCCTGCTGTCCGGCGATGCCGCGAGGGTAGAAGAGAGAAACGAAGAGAGAAACGAAGAGAGAAGGAGAGAAATGAGAGAAAAAGACCTTTTCATCGGGACATTCCCTGTTAAGTGTATCGGGCTATTCTGGGCTGCGGGATCTTTTGAAGGTTCAAGCTGGGATTAAAGCTTTTCGGACCGGTTGAAGGTCGAAGCTAACGAAGCCGCGGCGGTACGCGTGGCAGCTCACCGTGACATCTGCCAAGTAGCGTGACGCGAAGTTCATTATGGGGTTCAGCAGGGTGTCCCCAGGCTCGTTCATTTCAATTACTGCCAAACGATCACGCTGAATCAGTCTCGGACTTGTGCGCCCTACGAGTCGACACCTTCCGCGTGGGTTCTTCGTCATTAATAATTCCTCTCTGACTTTGCTGGATTTCACGTGAATTTACAAAAATTCACTGAAAAATCCTCCGCGATGCTTTTTCTTCGGCGGAGCACGATGAAAAATCATTTGGCTAATGGAAGCCCTGAAATAGCGCCGTTTCTTATCGGTCTTATCGCAGCCGATAAATAAGTCAGGCTGCAGGGAGCATCGCGAGCCTGATCGCAGGGGGATCTCACTGCTTTTCTCAAATTCGCACTTGCAATTAAGCTCAACCGGAGCACCCGGAGCGTTCGCAGCTTGCTGCAGCTTAATTATATGAAATAATTACGTGTCTGGTAAAATACACGCGCAGCTTGTAGACACGCATTGCGCAACGGGAGGATTGCGGTGGGCCGCAGGCCTAGCAGCCGCATCTGCGGCCCGCAGCTGCATCCTCGGTCCACTCTCTACAACACTACTAGTCTCCTCGCATTGTTTCTAGCAGTCGGTGCTACTAGCCAGTGCAGCCAACCCAGCACCAC